GGAAAAAAACTACCCCAAAACAATGCAACCCCAGGAATGTCTAGTTTGGAAATGGGAACAGGATTGCCAGCACTGTAGTACAACAAAATACTACAATAATTAATGATCTTAAGTCGCCGTCACTGCCTGCTATTTCTCAGATCCTGCTGTCGGACGGCGCCGATTTCTTCCTGTCTGCCAGAGCGAGCAGATGTAGAGCTGTGGTCGTCACTCCCGACGGTGGCTCGCCGGCCTGGAAGCTGCTGCAGCCGTACATCAAGAAGTCCTCGTCACTTTTTGCCGAGTTGTCATGTGACCAAGCACCGGAGCTCACGAGGGCTATACTGGTCACAAGGGATGTGGAAGGGTGAGTAGGTCAGACTAAATAGGGCATCGCTGTGAAATCAGGCGCATGTCAAAAAAATAAAATCGAAGAAATCGGCATTTATTTTCCGGTTTGGCAATTGTCTAATGCTGGTTGTTTGTTTGTTTTGTCTTTTGGCTTCTTAACACCTTTTATGTCCATTTTAAACACATTTCTGTGATGGGTTTACTGAAAGTCGTTGATTAAAGGCACACCAAATGATATTTAGTGCTTTTCAAGGACTCTCAAGCTTTGAAAGTCACCAAACTTTGTCAGTCATTTTCTTGCAAATTTTACCTCTGAAACCAGACTCCCCCTACCTACCTTAATGGCAGGTGCATAGAATCTATTCAAGACAAACCTTTTTTTTTTTCATCAAAAACAGGACAAAATAACAGGCTTCAATTAAGATGACAACAATAACACCACATGCCTAAAAGGTTGACGTGCGTCCGACCACTGACACAAATATTAAGTCTTTGTCTTTGGGTGTATTATATCCATCTGCGTCTCTGTGTGTCTTTTTTCGTTGCTTTTATAGATGTTTTACGCCCCCATCGCCACAGTTTAGACCATTTGAAACGTGGGTTTCGACCAAGTCTGTCATGGATAACCCTAGTTGAGTGGGATGCAACATCCCAGAAGAAAAACTGACATTCTCGATTAGAAACTCTCCCCATTCGGAAATCAAATTCAGTTCTCCAGTGTGTGACTGCAAAGCGCACAGCCACTGCATCACAAACACCGATTGTGTGTGTGTGTGTGTGTGTGTGTGTGTGTGTGTGTGTGTGTGTGTGTGTGTGTCTATACATGTGTATGTGCGCGCGTGTGTGTGTAAGTGTGTATGTCTATATGTCTATATTATGTGTGTATGTACGTGTGTTCGTATGTGTGTTTGTATGTCTATATGTGTGTATGTTTGTGTGTTTGTCTATATGTGTGTATGTGCGCAGGTGTGTATGTCTATATGTGTGTATGTGCGTGTATGTGTGAACATGTGTATGTGTGTATGTGTCTATGTGTGTATGTCTATATGTGTGTATGTGTAAGTTCTTGTGTGCATACCTATATATGTGTGTATGTGTGTGTGTGTGTGTGTGTGTGTATGTGTGTGTGTGTGTGTGTGTGTGTGTGTGTGTGTGTGCGTGTGTGTGTGTATGTATAACTGATCCAAAGTTGAGCATACTTTTGCCAACTCTTCAGCCCCTCGTCTGAAAACAGAGCGTAGGTTAATTTGAGTCCCCCCCCCTAAAAAGAAACCTTGTTTTTCTTCATTAAACTCGAAGCTCCATCCCAGCACTGATGACCGTGCTCAGAGATGACGTCACTCCGCCGCTGGTCACAGACGTCAGCCCCGACACAGACGCCATTGTGATGACAACTTCAGGGAGCACCGGGTACAGCAAACTGGTGCCGAGAACTCACAAGGAAATCATCGATTACTACAAGCTGTTTATACGTGATCTGGACAAGAGGCTTCCAAATCTTCGACCAGGCGACAAGCCTTTCTTCAACGACCGGCCATTAGGTAAGGTGAATAATAACTATAACAGCAAAACATGTAATAA